TTTGGACTTTTATAATGTACATTATCATTACTATCTGTGAATAATGAAAATTTCCTTTCTTTCTTCCCAATCCATAAGTCCTTTTTTTCTTATCATATTACAGTGACTAGTACAGTATGGCATGGAAGGGGCGATAGCATGCATTAGTGTCTTGTTCTTGATCTCAAAGGGGAAAACTTTCAGCATTAACCATTAAATACGATGTTTACCATAGATATATTTTGTAAGTACTTGTATCAGTCTGCAACCAGTCATTCCCAATGAGAAACTATACAAATAATTTAAACAGAGAAAGTTCAATATAAAGAATTATTAAACCTTGATAGGACAATAACTATGAAGATGTAGAGATAATGTTAAAGGACACCAAGAGCTGAAGGAGAGAGTATCCAAGAAAGTACAAACTTGGAAATGGAGTTCCCTTTCCAAAGCTGCGGCTCAGCCCTCTTTGTAAATCATGTGGTTGCAACATGGAATTTGAAAAGCTGACAAACCTTAGACAATAAATAAAATAAATGTTATTTATTTATTTGAGAGTGAGAGAGAGAGAGAGAGAACACAAGCAGAAGGTAGGGGGAAGGGAGGGAGAGAAGCAGACTCCCCACTGAGCAGGGAGCCCAATATGGGACTTGATCCCTGGACCCTGGGATCATGACCCGAGCCAAAGGCAGATGCTTAACCAATTGAGCCACCAAGGTGCCCCCAATTCAGTATCATTAATTATATATACACCATCAGTACTATCTGGTTCCAATTTTTTTCATCACCCCAAACAGAAACTCTGTACCCACTAAGAAATAACTCCCCATTCCACCTCCACCTAGCATATGACAACCTCTGATCTATTTTCTATGAATTTGCCTTATCTAGATATCTCATATAAGTAGAATTATATATATTCTTAGTCATTTTATATCTGCTTATTTTACTTAGCCTAATATTTTCATGTTTCACTTATGTTATATGACTTTTTTTTGAGAAACAAAAACCAAGTTTTTAATTTATTCATTTTTTGTATTGGAAGTATTCCTTGATAACATCCTTGGCCTGAGACTCTGCCATAGACGATAACTACCACACAACTGCAACCAACAATTTTGTGGGGTTTTAACTCTGTCAATCTTACAGGCCTACTCATTCTTCTAGTTTCTTGTTGTCATCAACCTTAATTAGGTTGATTTGGTGTTCAGCACAAAGGGCCTCCACCAACCTGACATACATAGGCTCATCACAGATGATGCAAACACACAAAGATGGGCTTGGTGCTTGTCTAAGGCTTTGGCAGCTTTTTGAATTCCACGTGCTAGGCCATGGTGGATGAGGGTGTTCTTCAGTGCCTCTTGTTTTTTTTTTTTTTAATTTTTATTTATTTATTTATGATAGTCACAGAGAGAGAGAGCGAGAGAGAGGCAGAGACACAGGCAGAGGGAGAAGCAGGCTCCATGCACCGGGAGCCCGATGTGGGATTCGATCCCAGGTCTCCAGGATTGTGCCCTGCGCCAAAGGCAGGCGCTAAACCGCTGCGCCGCCCAGGGATCCCCTTCAGTGCCTCTTGTAAATTAAACACCCATTACACCCCAAGTAGCAATGCTTTCCTTGGCCATGGCAGTGGGTTATGGGTGGAGCTGAATCTTGGTGCACCTGGGCCTCTACATGGCACATGTACAGGTGCATGTGACTCCACAATGGCAGGGAAAGAACAGAACTTCATTACTTTTTGTGGCTAAATAATATCCATTGCATGCATATATTATATTTTGTTTACTTATTGTAATGGTTAGTTATACGTATCAATTTGACTGTGCCATGGATGCCCAGGTATCTCATTGTATCTGGGTGTGTCTGTAAAGGTGTTTCTTGAGTAGATTAACATTTAGATTAATGGACTGAATAAAACAGATGGCCCTCCCCAGTGTAGGTGGGCATCATCCAATCTGTTGAGAGCCATTGTAGAACAGAAGGCCAATGGAAGGAATTTGCTTAACTGATTAAGTTGGGATATTGGTCTCCTTCCCTTAGCACTCCTAGTTCTTAGGCCTTCAGACTTGAACTGAAATCTATACCACTGGCTCTCTAGCTCTTAAATCTTTCAGCTATACCACCAGCTTTCCTGGGTGTTTAGCTTTACAGATAGTAGACCATGGGACTTCTCAGCCTCTATAATCATGTAAGCCAATATCTTATAATAAATTGCTTTATATTTATGTATCTCTGTATTCATCTATCTGTCATCTATCTATCATCTCCTATTGTTTCTCTAGAGAACCCTGAATATAAAACATCCATCCATTTGTTGAAGGACACTTGTTTTTTTTTTCCACTTTTTGGCTAATATCAATAATGCTACTATGAACATTAATGAACAAGTACCTGAGTCCCTGTTTTCAATTCTTTGAGATATATATAGGAGTGGAATTATATAACGTAATTCTATGTTTAACTTTTTAAGGAACCACCAAACTGTCTTCCAAAGCTGCTGCACCATTTTATATTCCTACCAGTAAAATACAAGGGTTACAGTCCTTCCACATCTTTGTCAACACTTGTTATTTTCTGATTTTGTTTGTTTTTATTATAGCCATAGGTATCTGAGGTGGTATCTCATTGTGGGTTTGATTTGCATTTCCCTAATGAATAATGATGTTGAACATATTTTCATGTGTTCATTGGTCATTTGAGTATCTTTTTTGCCCATTTTATTATTTTAAAAGATTTTATTTATTTACTTGAGAGAGAGATTGGAGAGGAGATGGTGCAAGCAGAGAGAGAAAGGGGAGAAGCAGAAGGAGAGGGACAAGCAGACTCTGCGCTAGGTGTGGAGCCCAACTTGGGGTTCCATCTGCTGACCCTGAGATCATAAACTGAGCCAAAATCAAGAGTTAGATGCTTAACTGACTGAGCCACCCAGGTGCCCCTTTTTTGCCCATTTCAAAAATGGGTTGATTGTTTTTTTTTCTTTTTTAGTTGTAGGAGTTATTTATATATTCTGGATATTGAATTCTCATCACATATATACTTTGTAAATATTTACTATCATTCCATTGCTTTTTTTCTTGTCTTTTTCATTATTAATAGTGTTCTTTGATGCACAAAAGTTTTTAATTTTCGTGATGTCCAATTTATCTGATTTTTTTCTTTTGTTACCCATGCTTTTGGTTTTTTGTTTTTATTTTAAGTAGCTCCACACCCAAGGTGGGACTTAAATTCATGATCAAGAATCACATACTCTACTAGCTGAGCCAGCCAAGCACCCCTGCCTGTTACTTTGGTGTCATACTTAAGAAACCATTGCCAAATCCAAGGAAGATTTATTCCTAGTTTAAGAGTTTGATGGTTTAAGCTCTTAAATTTAGGTCTTTGATCCATTCTGAGTTAATTTTTTAAAAGATTTTATTTACTTGTTTGACAAACAGAGGGCACAAACAGTAGAGGGAGAGGGAGAATCAAGCTCTTCACTGAGTAGGGAGCCTGATGCAGGGCTTGATCCCAGGATTCTGGGATCATGACCTGAGCTGAAGCCAGGTGCTTAACCAACTGAGCCACCCAGGTGCCCCACTGAATTAGTTTTTATATATAGTCTAAAGGAAGGTTCCAACTGATTCTTTTGCATGTGGATAGTCAATCTTCCTGGCACCATTTGTTGAAAAAACTACATTTTCCTCCACTGAATGGTCCTTGTTGAATATCAAAGGACCAAAATAAGAGGTATTTCTATATTTTCAATTCTATTCATTTGATCTAGGTGTATCCTTATGCCAGTACCAATTACACAGTTTTGATAATCATAGGTTTGTAGTACATTTTGCCTTTAGGAAGTATTAAGTTTTCCAACTTTGTTCTCTTTCAAGTTGTTTTGGCTACTCAGAGCTCTTGAAATTCCATATGAATTTAGAACCAACTTTTCCATTTCTGCAAAAAATAAGTAAATATATACACACAGACACACTATTGGGGTTATGATAGAGATTGCACTGAACTTTGGGTAGTGCCACCCATATTAAGACTTAGTTAATACTAAGTCTTCTAATTCATGGACAAGAAACGTCTTTCCTTTTATTTAGATCTCTTTTAATTTATTTCAGCTATGTTCCATACTTTTCAATGTACAAGTCTTTCACCTCCTTGGTTAAACTAATTCCTAGTGTCTTATTTTTTTTGTGTGTGTTATTGTAAATGGAATTGTTTTTAAGTTTTCTGTCATAATTATTTATTACCAGCAAAAGGAAATAAAACTGACTTTCGAGTGTTGATATGTCCTGCAATTTTACTGAATTTGTTTCTTTGCACTTAAAGTTTTCTGTATCTTTAGAGTTTTCTACATTTAAGATCATGTCATCTTAGAATAAAGATAATTTTGCTTCTTTTCTAATTTGAGTATCTTTTATCTCTTTGTCTTGCCTAATTATTCTGGCTAGTAGGGCTTGCTGTATGATACTGAATGATAGTGATGAAAGTGAGCATCCTTGTTTTGTTTCTGATCTTAGGGGAAATGCTTTCACTATTTTACCATTGGTATGATGGGTTGTGGGGTTTTCCCATATGGCCTTTATCATGTTGAGGTGCAGAGTTAAGCCATTGATTTGAGACCTTTCTCTCTCTCTCTCTTTTTTAAATATAGGCATTTACTGCTATAAATTTCCTTCTGAGCACTCTTTTTGCTGCATCCCATAAGTTTTGGCATGCTTTATTTTCATTTTCTTGTTTCTAACCTCACTGGGACTCCATTCCCTCATGAATACACTGGGCCAGGGGAAGTCCCCTCCTTTGAGGGCTCTCATGGGGGTCAAATGAGACAATGCCATCTAAGGGCCTGGCATGACATTCAGTAAACATTTGCTTTCGTACATTTCTCACCTTATTTTCTCATTTCCCTTGTGATTTCTTCTTTGACCCACTGGTTGTTTAAGAATGTTGTTTAGTTTCCACATATTTATGAATTTTCATTTTACTTCTGTTGCCAATTTCTTTTTTTTTTTAACATTTTATTTATTTATTCATAGAGACACACAGAGAGAGAAAGGCAGAGACACACAGGCAGAGGGAGAAGCTGGCTCCACACAGGGAGCCCGACGTGGGACTGGATTCCAGGGTCTCCGGGATCACGCCATGGGCTGGAGGCGGCACCAAACCTGCTGAGCCACCAGGGCTGCCCCTGTTGCCAATTTCTATCCTCATCCCATAATGGCTGGAGAAGATACTTTATATGATACCTATCTTTTTAAATCTATCGAGGCTTGTTTTGTAGACTAACATATGGTTTATCCTAGAGAATGTCTCATGTGTTCTTGAGAAGAATATGTATTCTGCTGTTGTTCCATGGAATATTCTATATATCTGTTAGGTCTAGGTGGTTTATTGTGTTATACGAGTCCCCTATATCCTTACTTATCTTCTGTATGGTTTTTCAATCCATTATTTAAAGTAGAACATTCGGGATCCCTGGGTGGCGCAGCGGTTTGGCGCCTGCCTTTGGCCCAGGGCGCGATCCTGGAGACCCGGGATCGAATCCCATATCGGGCTCCCGCTGCATGGAGCCTGCTTCTCCATCTGCCTATGTCTCTACCTCTCTCTCTTTCTCTCTCTGTGACTATCATAAATAAATAAAAAAATTAAAAAAAATAAAGTAGAACATTCAAGTCTATAACTATTATTGTAAAAGTTTCTATTTCTCCCTTAAATTCTTTCAATTTTTGCTTCATATGTTTTGAAAATCTCTTGGGTATGTAAATGTTTATCATTGTTATATTCTCTTGCTGTATTAAACATTTTATTAATATATAATGTCTTTTTCTTTTGCAATCTTTTGGATTTAAAATCTATTTTGTTTGTTCTTAGTATAGCTACCTTAGTTCTCTTTTGGTTAATATTTGTTTGGAATATCTTTTTCAGTCCTTTTACTTTCAACCTATTTCAGCCTGTCTTTGGATCTAAAGTGAATCTTTTATAGATAGTACATAGTTGAATCATTTTTTAAAAATCTATTCTGCCAATATTTATCTTTTGATTGGAGAGTTTCCTCCATTTAATTTAAAGTAATTACTGATAAGGAAGGACTCTCTTAGTTTTGTCATTCTATTTGTTTTCTATATACCTGATACCTTTTTTTGTCCCTCACTTTTTCTATTCTGTCTTCTTTTGTGTTTAGTTGATTTTTGTAGTGAGTTCCCTTCTTATTTCCTTATGTGTGTATTCTATAACTCTTTTCTTTGTGATTACCATAGGGATTACATTTAACATTCTAAGGTTATAACACTCTAATTTAAGTTTATAAGAATTTATATTCAATAGCACACAAAACTTAATGTAGGTCCCTTCCCTCTTTCTGTTATTAGAATTAAAAGATTACATCTTTTCATTTACATGGTCAATAATGTTTTTTTATGAATTTGTCCTTTAAACCATGGTTTTAGAAAGTGGAGTTACAGGGCAGCCCAGGTGGCTCAGCGGTTTAGCGCCACCTTCAGCTCAGGGCCTGATCCCGGAGACCCAGATCTAGTCCCATGTCAGGTTCCCTGCATAGAGCTTGCTTCTCCCTCTGCCTGTGTCTCTGCCTCTCTCTCTTTCTCTGTGTGTCTCTCATGAATTAATAAATAAAATCTTTTTTAAAAAGTGGAATTACATACCATAATTATAATAATATTAGACTTTATAATTATCCATGTATTTATCTTCACTAGAAATCTTTATTCCTTCTTACAGCTTCAAGTAACTGTCTAGTTTCTTTTTAATTCAACCAGAAGAACACCCTATAGAATTTCTTGCAAGATGAGTCTAGGCGGCAATAAACTCTCATAAATTTTGATTATCTGAGAATGTCTTAATTTCTCCCTAATTTTTTTTGATTTATACATTTCTTTGCATTTCTAAATTTTTGTTGTAGTAAAATACACTAACAAAAAATTTGCTACCTTAACATTTTTAAGTGTACAGTCAGTGGTATCAGTGCATTCATATTGTTGTGCAACCATTGCCACCATCCATTTCCAGACCTCTTTCCATCTTGAAAAACAGCAACTCTATACCCATTAAGCAACAACTCTCTATTTCTCACCTCTTATCAGCTCCTGGCAACCACTATTCCACTTTCTGCCTCTATGAATTTGACTACTCCATGTACCTCATATGAGTAGAATCATATAGTATTTGTCTTTTTGTGATTGGTTTATTTTACTTATTGTAATGTTCTCAGACTCATCCATGTCATAGCATATGTCAGAATTTCCTTCCTTTTTAAGGCTAAATAATATTCCAAAATAGTAAACATTTTGTTTAACCATTAATTATGATGGATACTCGGTATGTCTGGTTATTGTAGTAGTGTGCTAGACATAATATTTGAGTACTTGTTTGTGGAAAAATTTTGAGGTCTATAATTACATTATTTTTTCTCATAGAATTTCTATGTTTACTGGGCAGCCTGGGTGGCTCGGTGGTTTAGTGCCGCCTTCCACTCAGGGTGTGATTCTGGAGACCTGGGATTGAGTTCTGTGTTGGGCTCCCTGCAGGTGTCTCTGCCTCTCTCTCTGTCTCTCATGAATAAATAAATAAAATCTTAAAAAAAAAAAAGAATTTCTATGTTTGCTGCCAGCAGGTTCCTAGGAAGATTTGGTAATCCAGGATCACATCATACATACGCTTTTAGGAATTGATATGGTTTGAAGCTAGGCTGCAATTTTTGCTGGTCTTCATTTGGTTCTAGTTTTCCCAGGTTATGGTCCTATGGAGACTCCACTTATAACACTGGAAATTCGTTAGGGATTCTCTCCCTCCTAATATTCATGGGCTTGGGATTTCATGTTTATCCTTCTAATTCTTTAAGGCTGCCAAAAACACTGCTCAGATGCCTATGCAGGAATTAGCAAACACAGGGGAAAAGGAATTCAAATATCAAGCTTACATCTCAGATTATCTTCTGAGTCTAGCAGGGTAATTCTTACTGTTTTTTATCACCATCAAGTAGTTGCTTTTTATATTTTGTTTGCTTTTCTAATTGTATTCATTGTGAAGTCTGGTCTAAATTATCTGGTGGTTTTTTATTACACTCTTTTTGTTCCACTCTCAAGTTCCACATAGAAGCCATTAGTTCTCTGCCACAATCTTCAAACTTCTGAGCCAATTTCAGCTCTTCAGTCCCAACAAATAGTTTGGCTTTTTGTTCAATTGAGGAAGCAAATCTTTCTCAATGCCCTCCTCTCTACTTCAATACTGTTTTTTGAATTATTTGTTTCTGTATCTTTCTATATTTTTGTCTATTTCCTTCCTTTCTCAAAATAAAGTCAGTCAACTCTTGTCAACCTAGCTTCAGTTTTCTACCTCCTATCTCCCCCAATTTCCTTCTCTCCTTGCTTTATTAACTAGAGACAAAGCTGTCTTCAATCTCTCCTATCGTCTGTTTATAACCATTCCCAGGTATTCTTCACCTAAATAAAACTTCACCCCCACTCTCCTACTGTCTTAAGCTGTCATGTCTTTTCTCTTCTTTACATGGATAGCCTTTCCTGAAGAGAAAACTCTTGTGGTTTCTATTCTACTCCCATATGATTCTTTTGAAACTCCTGTACAGATGGTCATCAATGACATTTAGGTTGGCAATGACTTTTGTCATTTTCTTCTATCTTGGTTTCTTAGGAGCACATGAAACTATGGCCTACTTCTCCCTTAAATTTTTTCCTTTGGCCTAAATTATAATTCTATTTTCCTTATTTTTCACATTTCTGACCACTATGCCTCTGCCACTGTAGCTGGCTACTTTTCTCACACTGCTTATAAGACAAATATAATTTCAGTTTCTGCAAGGTCTTTGGGGACAGATAAATGGTTCTATTGTTAGAAAGCCAAGCTTTTCATAGGTGGGCCTTAGGCATGTCCTAGAGTAGGAGAGTAAAAATGGGAAAAAGTTGTTTTGCTTAGGAATGTAAAAAGCTATTTCAGTGATAAACTGGAGAAATTTTTGCAGGTTATATTGCCTTTAGGAAAATATTTGTCTTCCTTAATGTGTCATTAGACTACATTGGCTCTGAGAATTATTATTTGTCCTTGAAAAAGGCATGTGAAGTTGTGCTTTCATGTTATCCGTAGGAAATTTAGAAGGCTATCCTTACCTCCCACCATGAAGATGCTTGAACAGGGACTGAACTTGGAGTGGGAAAGCCTTCTGTGGACTGTTCTGAAGTTACCTGTGCTGTGATCCTAAATTGACTAGCTCACACTCTGGGAAATGTAATAGCTTCCTGTGTTCCCTGGGTTGTGTGACATTATGGAACAAGGAGACAGTCCAGTGGTAGAGAATTTCACATCTCTATTCTGGGCCCAGTGGATTCTCAGAAGGAAAAAAAGTAAAGTGTGCTTTTATTTAAGGAGAGAAATAGAAGGATAGGTTTCAAGTTATGAAAATAAGACTAAGAAGTCAGTGTACCCTATGAAAGGTGTAACATTTTTCCCTTTCTCTAGGATTCTGGGTTATAATAATCTATTTAACATACAGATGTAAGTTTTCTTCTTTCCTTCATTACTATTTCCTGTAGTTATTCCCAAAACTTTAATAAAGTTTCCAGCGTGCCCCAGAGCCTTGTTTGAGTGGTTTTATGGATAAATAAAGGATACCTCAGAAAGGAGACATGCTGACATCTCTGCACCATCACCACATCCAGGTGTAATTATTTAGGAAGAACAGGACACATAGAACTCTAAGAGATGAAGAGCAGTATGAGTACCCAAGGTAGTACTGAGAGGGGTTGAGGGGAGAATATAATAATGAAGGGCCAACCACACTGCACATACTCCCTTCTCCAAACATATGAGAGGAAATCACACTTGCAAGGGGAGACACTTCCCAATGTTCTGCTTTGAACTCTCTTTTCTGTTCTTGTCTCACTCCCCTCCACACTCCTCTCCTTTCTTGACTGCATTGTCTCCCTCCATAGGATTCTGTGAGCCTGTGGGATCACCCTCCCCCTCACTCCTGAGTTACAATCACGGGCCCATGACTTGTGCCCTGACCATAGTTTCATATTTCCTACCAGGTGACTATGGACATATTATTCATACTATAAATTCCATGTGATTAAGGTTAAAAGTAGTGTTTTTACTTCCCTTCTCCATTCCTTCTATCCACACCAGCATTTCCCTGTCTTTACTATTTTTTTGGTTGCAGTCAGTTTTCATCACTCAGGCTTAGAATGGGGTCATCTTCAAGTTCATCTCTCTTGCCATTTTCATCCATTTACTTGAACACATCCTGTTAATTCTTTTTTAGCGGCTATTCCTTTGAA